CCAATGCCTCTTAATTACGGGAACGTACCGTAGGTTTAGGGCTCCTATCACTGAATATGCCCCTTTAGAAGCGAAGTATTGGGAGTAACAACCCCTAAGCCCTAAAGCGTAAACTCCTAAGACTCCCGGCCCTTATCCACTCAGCCCTAAACCCAACCCCCCCAAGCCTTAACGACGGCGAGCTGCTTGCCATCTGGGAGCGGGTACCAGACGTATGGCCACCAGCAAGACCTGTAAGCAAACTATCGGGGTACCGTTTATCGGCAAAGGTGAGGATCATCCTTGCCCCACGAAATCCGAACGCTAAGCATGAAAAGTCCACAACCCTAAGAACATTAAACCCAAAACCCAAAACCCTAAACCCAAAACCCTAAACCCTAAACCCTAAACCCTAAACCCAAAGCCCTAAGAGCCCACGAGGACCATCGTGGGAGACCTGAACCCGGGGAATTGCCTGCCGCCCTTTGAACCCGGGGATGCGCTGAACTCAGAAATCCGGGCTGTTCGTTGCATGGGGGTTTAGGGTTTAGGGTTTAGGGTTTAGGGTTTAGGGTTTAGGGTTTAGGGTTTAGGGTTTAGGGGAGGCTCGCGGCTTAGGGCTTTTCGGGCTGGGGTCTAGAAGTCTAGCTTTGTTTTGGGGGAGTTTTGGGTTTGGGGTTCAAGGTTCGAAGTCCGAGCAGGGTGATGCCTAGTGGGGCTTCATAGCATGGCATGGGCCGTAATCAACCTTTCCCTACACCCTGCACCCTCGCAGCAGTCTGAGCAAGGCAAGCCAACCAATCCTAAACAGTGCCTCCTGTGTAAGCCCCTTCTTCCAAAAGATCGTTGTTCCACTCCGTGTCTCAACGGGAGCCACGGTTGGTTCCGTGAGACACGGACATGGGGAGCCCGTGGCTTTATTATCGTAATGTGTTATTACAATTGCGACTAGTATTCTGCAAGTCGCGAGTGTGCAGCCAAGCTGTTGGACTTCACATGGCGGTTACCTTCCCTGGTGGTGTCTCTTGAACGGGTAAAATCCTAAACCCTAAACCCAAAACCCAAAACCCTAAACCCTAAACCCTAAAACCCTAAACCCCATTAGAGCAGCCCCGAAGCTGTTGGTTCGAGACCCAAACCCACTGCGCAGCTCGCGAATAGAGACGACAGCTGGTGGCCACACTCGGTCAATGCGATGGCAGGACGAACCCAGACCCAGACCCCAGACCCTAAACCCAAAACCCCAAGACCCTAAACCCTCTAATAGTGGATCGGGCCTTGATAATTAGAAGAAGGTTCTGGTGCATATGATATCATGACTATAGTAAGGAGCCTCAAAAATAGACCCCTTAGGCCCCAACTCCTTTTAAACCCTAAACGGTTGGCAGGACAGAGAGGTTTTCCTTCACGATCGGATCTCCCCTAGTCGCCCACGCGCAATTTACCAGGTTTTACAGCGCCAGGCCCTAACCCTAAACCCTAAACCCTAGACCCTAGACCCTAAACCCTAAACCCTAAACCCTAAACCCCTAAACTCGAAACTCTGAGCCGCGAAACCCTCAATCCGACTCGGCATAGAACCCTTGTGCAACGCCTATGAATCCTTCTTCAAACCCCCTACAAAACCATGTGACCCCCCATATTCGCAACCCCACCAGCCCTCCTCAACAGCCCTATAACACGCTGCCAAGAGCCTCATGAATCCCTATCCCTATAAACCCTCGACCATCATTCCATCAACCCCTAAACCCGAAACCCTAAACCCATAAATCCCTAAACCCCTGAACCCAAAACCCTAAACCACAAGCCCTAAACCCCATCAGCCGGATCAGGAGCTGGGCTGGCTGAAAGCGCCGGCTCCCGGTATGCTTCGATCTGCATCTCCGGCACAGGCGCGGCTTAGAGTTTAGGGTTTAGGGTTTAGGGGTTTAGGGGTTTAGGGTTTAGGGTTTAGGGTGTAGTCTCTGGGGCAACAGGGTTCCTTGAAGGGGTTATCCAAGGATTCCTAAAAGGGTTGTATAAGGGAGGAAACAGAGGGAGAATCCCATAGTACCCTTTAAAGGGGACCCCGCTGTACCCTGTCAGGGCGATTGTGAGGGTTGAACTCAGGGGCCTTGATAATTAGAATGGCTTTTCGTGATGCGAGGGGCTTAAGCGCCGCCCACCCACAGTAGGTGGGGGTTTAGTTAGGGCTTAAGGTTTGGGGCTTCTTGGGCTTGCCGTGGAATAGCACGCAGATCATTCCCCAATGTTGCAGATCAGCCTATCCATACTCGATAACCAAACCCGCCCGCCATCCCACTCTCGTCTATTTTGGGTGGGCCGCGCGATGGCCGTCCGCTTGGCACACCCACCCCTAGACCCTAAAACCCTAAACCCTAAACCCTAATCGGTAAACCTCACCAAACCCTAGACCCTAAACCCTAAACCCCTAGACCATACCCCATACTAAACCCTACCTCTAAGACTCTACAAAGCCGAAGGCAGAAACCCCGGAATCCCCCACCCATCCTCGTGTTTGGGGTTTGGTGTTTAGGTTTGGGTTTAGGGTTTAGGGTTTAGGTTTCAGGGTTTAGGATCCCAAACTCCCTTGGACCCGGAACTCAGAGCCGAACTTCATGCCATGGGCGTAGGGCTTTGGGTTCAGGTGTGCGGAAAGCTTGAAGGTCCTCATAGGTCATGCGGCCTTGCGTTAACAAAATGATGTGGGAACAATGTAGCAAGCTCTCTGAAGCCATCAGAACTCTGTAAAAAGCACTGAGCATGCATGCCGTCATAGAGAACCATACAACGCCTTTGCAGACATGTTGGAATTCTCAGCTGGCAGGTTCTGGCGGGAATGGGCCGCGCGTTTTGCCGAGACAGCTTGGGCTGCCGGGCTATCGTAAGTCTTCGGAGATTTTTTGGGGGTTCCTCACTAGAATTATAGTATAATATACCCCCCAAGCCCTATTCTAATTATGAAGGCCCCTTTTTTGGGGTTTCTTTAGGGTTTAGGGTTTAGGTGCTTGGGTGTTATGGGCATGCAGCCTTAACCCCAAGCCCTCGGCCCTTGGCCCAAAACCCCACAGAGTGAACCCCAAGCGGAAGCCCGAAACCCCAAACCCCAAACCCTGTAAGCCCTAAACCCTAAACCCTAAACCCTAAACCCTAAACCCTAAACGCTAAACCCTAAACCCTAAACCAACCCTGAACCGCAAAGCACCCTAAACCCGAAACCCATCTAAGCCCTAAGCCCTAAAACAACCCGTTAGAATAGGGTTTGGGGGTTTTTATACGATAACTATAAGAGGGAACCCCCAAAACCCTATTCTAATTATTATTGCCACTACCATAGTTTTCCGAAGCTCCCAGGTGATGGCGATGCTTATGATGTCACGAAGAATGTTGACCAGGCAGGCATGAATCCCTCTAAGTGTCTTCGTGCGTACGTAGGCAGGTTAGTGTAATCTTAACTTTAGGGTTCAGGCTTCAGGATTTGGGATTCAGGGTATATATGCATATATACGTAGTATCCGACGTAGTATGTATGTATGTATGTATGTATGCATGTATGTATGTATGTATGTATGTATGCATGTATTTATGTATGTATTCATGTATG